AAGTGGAACGATGATCGAGAAAGGTAGGAAATCTCACGAAAAGAGAATCATCAAGCGGGATGGTAAAAAAGATTATTTAAATTACTCACCATATGAAATCTTTGCAATGACTGCAAAAGGTCGGTTGCTTGAAGAATCGGGGCATAAAGCTGTGATTCTTGACGACGTAGACATTTTTCTTTTTGAGGGCTCCTTTACGTCCCCGGATTTTCTTGGCGAATGCGGTATTCGCATCGCCGGGCCCGAGGGAGTCCTCGCACGTGTTATTTGCTTCCTGATCGTCCGCCATCGCGCAGTCAACTGGTCACGGTCCTCCTAAGAGAGAACCTCTGGAAATTTGTTTACGGCTAGAACACTTCCACGACAGCCAGTCTTCCCCGCTGGATGGGCCCCCGCGGTTTTTCCTCGGCTGTCACACGTCAGTCGGAAGATGCACGCGCGCACACCAATCGACCTCGGCTGGAGAGCCAAAACGGAGAAGAGTAAGAGCTGTCCAAAGGTGACCGTGGAACGTGGTATAAAGCGAGGAAAAAGAGAGAGAGCGAAAAAAAGTGTTTGTTGCGCGGCTATCGAAACACGGTCGACTTGTCACGTCCAACGTGCAATATGTAATGTACTTGTCGCGGTAACTCGTGCCGAGACCGACCACCACCGTCAACGACTCTCTGGCCTCGCTCGTCACCGCTGCTCTGCTACCACCACCTCCTCCTCTTCTTCCTCCTCCTTCGCCACCTCTTGCCCTCTGCACATGCCGCTGCCTCTGGCTCTACCACCTCCTTCCTTCTTCCTCTCTCCTTACCTATGCTGATGCGCTCGCGCTCGCGCTCGCGTTCACGCTCGCGCCAGCGCCTCCACCCTCGCTCTACATCTTCCCTTTAACCCTCTGCTCATCCTGCTCTATCATTTTCCCTCTTTTTCCCTTCTTTTCCCTTTGAAACCCCGCGATTCTCTCTTACTTTCCTTCTCCGCATCTTCGCTGCCAGCCCTCCTTCAGATTTCGTTCTTTCCTATGAAAGGACAAATTAATCAAGGAAAATTCTACTTTTCTTCTGCGTTCAAATATTCTTTTTTATTCTTTTCCCCCTTTCTCTCTCA